GTGTTTACAAAAATAGAAAAATTAGCCAGGTGTGGTGGTGGGTGCCTTTAAGTTCTAGCTACTTGGGAAGCTGAAGCAGGAGGATTGCTTGAGCCTAGTAATTAGAGGTTGCTTGAGTAAGGCTGAGGCCATGACACTCTAGCCTGGAAAGTGAGACCCTGTCTCTACAAAAATAGAAAAATTAGCTGGCATGTGGTGGGTGACTTTCAGTCCTAGCTCTATGGAAAGCTGAGGCAAGAGAGTTGTTTGAGCCCAGAAGTTAGAGGTTGCTGTGAGTGAGGCTAAGGACATGGCACTCTAGCCTGGGCAACAGAGCAAGGCTGTTTTAAAAAAAAAAAAAGAGGTTAAAATGAAAGATTTTTTTTTTCCTGAAAGTCTGGACGAAAAACATGGGTGCCCATTATCTATAGGAGATCATTATACATGGCAAAATGTAGTGCATACTTTTCAACTATGTACTGCACAGTCACCAAGAAAACAGGTTTTGATAAATTCATAAGAGCTGAAATCATGCAGACTCTATTCTCTGACTGTACTGTAATGGAATTAAAAATCACTAAGTTAACTCGATAATCTGCTAATTCCCCCAAGTATCTGGAAATTAAAAATGTATAAATAACCAGTAGGTCAAAGAAATCACAAGGGAAATTAGCCCTGAGTTATAATGAAAATAAAACATCAAACTTTACGAGATACAGTTAAAGCATACTTAGAGGACCACTTACAGCTTTACGTGCTGATAATCAGAAAAAAAATAATCAAATCAGTCACCAAAGTTTCACCTCAAGTGGCCAGAAAAAGGGAGCAAATTAAGTCTAAAGTAAACAGAAGGAAGAAAATAATAAAGAGGAGAAATCAGTCACGTTGAAAACTGACAAACCTTAGAGAAAATTAAGCAAGGCAAAAATGGGTTCCTTGATTTTATTTATTTATTTATTTAGACCAGTGGTTCTCAACCTTCCTAATACCATGGCCCTTTAATACAATTCCTGTGGGTTGCGACCCACAGATTGAGAACTGCTGATTTAGAAAGAGTTTTTATTCTGTTGCCCTGAGTAGAGTGCTGTGGCATCATAGCTCACAGCCACCTGAGACTCTTAGGCTCAAGAGATTCTCTTGCCTTAGCCTCATGAGTAGCTGGGACTACAGGCACCCGCCACAATGCCCAGCTACTTTTAGAGACAAGGTCTTGCTCTTGTTCAGGCTGGTCTTAAAATCCTGAGCTCAAGCTATCCACTTGCTTCCACCTCTCAGAGTGCTAGGATTATAGGTGTGAGCCATTGTTGTCGGCCCTAAAGATAGTTAAAAGAAAAAAAAAATTAAGAAAAAGACAATACAAATTAGCAATATGAAAAATTACAAGAAAATAGAACATAGATCCTCCTGATATTAAAAAGATAACAAGGAAATGTGGGGAGGTTTGGGTTTTTTTTTTTGAGACAGAGCCTTACTTTGTCACCCTGGGTAGAGTGCCATGGCATCATACCTTACAGCAACTGCGAACTCTTGGGCTCAAGCAGTCCTCTTGCCTCAGCCTCCCAAGTAGCTGGGACTATAGAGGCCCGCCACTATGCCTGGCTATTTTTGTTTTTTTAGAGACCAGAGTCTTGTTCTTGCTCAGGCTGGTCTGGAACTCCTGCGTTCAAGTGATCCACCTGTCTCAACCTCCCAGAGTGCTAGGATTATAGGCATGAGCCACCGCACCCTGCCACAAGGAAATGTTACAATTTGATGCCAATAAATTTGATTACTTAGATAAAGTGGACAAATTCTTCAAAAAATACAAATACAAAGCTAAATACAAAATGGATTTTTTTAAAAATTGAGAATAGGCTTATATCTATCAAAGAAATTAAAATTGTTATCAAGAGAAAACTCCAGGCCCAAATGGTAGCACAGGTGAATTGTATCAAATTCTAAGGGGAAAATGAAATTAATCTCACACAATTCTTGCAGAAAATAAAAGGGTAAGGGGCAGCACCTGTAGCTCAGTGGGTAGGGTACCAGCCACATACCAACACAGACAGGTTCAAACTCGACCTGGGCCTTCTGAACAACAAAGACAACTGCAACAACAACAACAACAAAAGTAGCTGGGCATTGTGGCAGGCACGTGTAGTCCCAGTTACTTGGGAGGCTGAGGCAAGAGAATCACTTAAGCCCAAGAGCTTGAAGTTGCTATGAGCTGTAATGCCATGGCACTCTACCCAGGGCGACATAGTGAGACTCTGTCTCAAAAGAAAGAAAATAAAGGGGGAAGGAATATTACCAAGCTCTGATACCAAAACCTAATGAAAACATTAAAGAAAAAGAAAAGTATAGGCCCAAATTGCTCATGAACAAAGATGCATAAATCTTTAGTAAACTGTTGGTAATTGGATCCAGCAATACATAAAACAGAAAATATGTTATAACCAAACAGGGGTTTATTGGAGAGTACAAAGGATGTAATAATCCTAGGAATTTATTGCAGAGTTTATCTCAGGAGTGAAATCAATGTAATTCATCAAAGTAATAAAATAAACGAGGAAAAATTAGATCATTTCAATAGATGCAGAAAAAGTATTTGACAACCTAGCACTTTCAGAGGCCAAGGTGGGAGGATGGCTTGAGGCCAGGAGTTCCAGACCAGCCTGAGTAAGAGTGAAACCCCAATATCTACAAAAAATAGAAAAATTAGTCAGATGTGGTTGTCCCTCCCACCCCCGTAATCCCAGCTACTTGGGAGGCTGAGGCAGGAGGATCACTTGAGCTGAGGAGTTTGAGGTTGCATTGAGCTATGATGATGCCATTGCACCCTAGCCCAGGCAACAGAGAGAAACCCTGATTGAAAAAAACAAACAAAACTTTTAGCAGATTAGGGATAGAAAGAAACTTCTTGGGCTCTATGAAAAACTATAATTAAAATCATAATTCATGATGAAATATTGAACCGTTTCCCCCTAAGACTGGGAACAAGGAAAGAATGTCCATTCTTATCACTTCTACTCGATTGTACTAACAGTTCCACCAGTGCAATAAAGCAAGAAGTTGAGGGCATAAAGACTGGAAAGGAAGACATAAAATTGTCTTATTCTGCAGCTGATGTGATTATTGAAACATTGATACATTTGAAAATCCTACAGAATGTACCAAGCAACTACTAAAGTCAATAAATGAATCTAGTAAGATCTCAGTATACAAGGTCAATATACAAAATCAATTGCATGTTTATGTACTAGCTATAAACAATTAAAATAGTTATATGTCACCTATAATAGCATCATAAAACATGTCATATTTAGAAATAGATTTAACAAAAAACATATAAGACCTGCATATCAAAACTGAAATCCCAGCCTGAGCCAGAATGAGATCTTATCTCTAAAAATAGCTGGGTGTTGTGGCGGGCACCTGTAGTCCCACTACTTGGGAGGCTGAGGCAAGAGAATCGCTTAAGCCCAAGACTTTGAGGTTGCTGTGAGCTGTAACATCATGGCACTCTACTGAGGGTGACATAGTGAGACTGTCTCACAAAAAAACAAACAAACAAAACCCTTCCACAAAATGGATGTATTTCAAAACATTATATCGAGTGGAAGAAGCCTCAGGCAAAAGAGTTTATAGCATATGTCTGTGTGATTCTGTTTTTATGAAGTTCTAAAATAGGCTACACGAGTTATGGTGGAAAGAAATCAAAATAGTAGTTGTCTCTGGAGGATGTGGGTGGGGCTTGACTAGGACGAGGCATGAGGGAACTTTTCTGGGATCACGGTAACGTTCTGTATCTTGATAGAGGTTTGCGTTACGCAAGGATATGTGTTTTTTAACTCTCACTGAATGGTACCCTTCACAGCTGTGCTTTCACTGTAGGTAAATTTCACCTTTAAAAATCTTGCGAACGAAGACTGAATTCTAGTTAATAACAGGCACGTGGGAAGTGTTAGGAGTGGTGTATACTGTTATCTGCAACTTATTTTGAACTGCATCCAAAAAGTAAGATGGTCTGGTAGATGGATTGAGTGATTAATAGGTAGAAAGGTACGTGTTAAAGCAAAAAGAGTGAAATGTTAACCGTAGAATCTAGTTGGTGGGCGTTGTAAGTTTTCTTCCTGCATGTTTGAAAATGTTCACAAAAAGTATAGGGGGAAGAATAAATGATATCTGAAATTCTCTCTAATAGGACCCAACCTCTCACAGAATGTTCTTAGAGTAATATTGCTGCATAGGTAATTCCTTCCCTTTCTTCCTTCCTCCCTCCCTCTCTCCCTCCTTTCCTTCCTTCCTTTTTTTTATGAGATGTAGTCTCACTCTGTTGCCCTGGGTAGAGTGCAGTGGTGTCATAGCTCACAGCAACCTCAAACTCTTGGCTCAAGAGATCCTCCTGCCTCAGCTTTCAAAGTGGCTGAACCTACAGGCACCTACTATAATACCCACCTAATTTTTCTATCTAAAATTTTTTCTAATTTTTTTTTTTAGTTGAAATGGGGTCTCACTCTTGGTCAGGTCACCCTTGAACTTCTGACCTCAGGCAATCTACCTGCCTCAGCCTCCTAGAATGCTAGGATTATTATTTTTTTTTTCTTGAAACAGAGTCTCACTATGTTACCCTGGGTAGAGTGCCATGGTGTCACAGCTCACAGCAACCTCAAACTCTTGGGCTTAGGCGATTCGCTTGTCTCAGACTCCCAAGTAGCTGGGACTACAAGTGCCCGGCTATCTTTTGGTTGTAGTTGCCATTGTTGTTTGGCAGGCCCGGGCTGGGCTGGATCCTGCCAGCTCCGGTGTCTGTGGCTGGCGCCCTAGCTGCTGAGCTATAGGCGCTGAGCCCCTGGATAATTTCTTTCATCCTCCCTGAGACACTTTTAGAAATAGTACAGGGGAAGATTAGTCCTGCTCTGAAAAGAGGAATTTTGTTGCTAAGTTTTCCAAAATGATATTCTTATTAAATTTGGAATGCTCAAATATGTAGACGTGTACCCCAAGTAGCTAATATTTATAATCTCTTCCTTTTTAGATATACAACCAAATGTGGACCTGAAAAGCACTCAGGAGCAGGCTGTCCCCACAGGTAACATCAGGTCTTTTCTCTTTATAAATAAATCTTTTCTAAAAATACCAAAGTAAAAAATGTGCTTATTCTGATCGCATTAAGAATGCTATGGAAATGCATTTGTTTAAAATCTTTCTAATTAAAAAAAACCTCATCCATTTAGAGCATGTAAGTACTTTAGCATCATAGGGCCAAACCATACCCTCCCTAATGGTGATCGCTGAGCTTTTTTCTTTTTCCTCCTACTGTTTTGGATAGCGACAGTTTCTGTCAAATAATAGAGTAGCTTATATTTGAATGGCTCGTGTTTTTCACTCTAGAACAGTGCTCAGCAAACTGTTTTTGTAAAGAATCAGATGGTAAATATTTTGGACTTTGCAGGCCACATGTAGTCTCTGTTGCATATTCTTCTTTGCATTTTTTTAGACCCCCTTAAAAATTTAAAAAACATTTTTACCTCCTGGGCCCACATAGAAACAGGTTATGGTCTGACTGGGCTGACTCATGGTCTAGATTCTAGAATAAACTGTAAACATTTAAAATAATTTATTTCCAGGAGAAGAAATAAGAGGAAATGTTCTTAACTGTTTTTCTGTCATGGACTTCTCTAAATAAAGTGTTTAAATGCTTTCAATAGGCTCGGTGCCTGTGGCTCAAGCGGCTAAGGCGTCAGCCACATACACCTAAGGTGGCAGGTTCGAATCCCCAGCCTGGCCCGCCAAACAACAATGATGGCTGCAACCGGCGTTGTGGCGGGTGCCTGTAGTCCCAGCTACTTGGGAGGCTGAGGCAGGAGACTGGCTTGAGCCCAGGAGTTGGAGGTTGCTGTGAGCGTGATGCCATGGCACTCTACCCAGGGGGATAGCTTGAGGCTCCATCTCAAAAAAAAAAAATGCTTTAAATAAACAGTACAAAAGGGAAATGACATCAACATAGTTGTCACAACATTAAATTGATAAATTTGTAAAAAATAAAATAAATTTATTTCCTAAAAATAACTGGTATATTTTCTTCACCAATTAACTCACTTTGTTTGAATCAAAACTTATGTTATACTACAAAATTTATTCCTTACCTGCCTTTTTGTGTTACTGTGCATTGTAAGCTCATATTTTAATTGAATTTGAACCTCATATAAATTTCTCAGGTGTATTTTAGTCATGATGGGCTTGAGAAAAGTGAACCAGTGTTTAAATCAGTATCTTAGAGTTCGGAGAGCATACCGTAATAATATGCAGAAACCAGAAACTCATGAGAGACTCATAAATCAAACAAGTGGGTCCGTAGTGACTACGTTTTCAAGGCCTCTTAGTGATGGATTTTGGGAAACATGTTTCCATTTCACTCTGGTATTCTAGTAAATATCCCTTTCCACGTGTTGGGTCATGGCTGCGGCTCAAAGAGATGTCACTGCAGGGTTTCCAGTCACTTCCCCTATGTCAGCCCAGCTTAAACACCACAAGATTCAGTGTCTTTGACTATTTGCTGCATTAATAGGTACTCAGTAAATATTTTATCGAATATGGGGAAGGAGTTGGATAAAAAATGAGAAAATTTTCAGCTCATTTCTTTTGCTATCATTTTTTGTTAAGCTACTGCTTATATGCAAAGATAATTCCAAGCATGTTGCTCCTTTTATTACTTCCAGTATTACCAGTATTTATTTTACAAAATCATATTGTCCTTAAACTTGATTTTTGAATAAGGTTTCTGTTTATTTAAGCATGCTTTTATTATCCATGCACATGTTCATGTATGAACTCCCGTAACACTTCGTATTTGTTTGAATCCCTTATCAGATTCTACCTTGCATTGTACACATGGGCTTCTCTTAAGTATATCTGCAAATTATGAGCTCTGTGGGGACAGGCATAATGATTTATCCATATCCGTAGCATTTAGTAACTATTCAAAAAAATATCATAACTTGGGGTCCAATATGTTTTCCAGAGAATTACATTTATAATGTGAACAGAAGGGAAATAGACTTTGGCAGACAGAAGCTTACAGACTGCCTCTTAGGAGAGCGTCTTTCCCCAATTTGGTCAGTGTTTTCAGGCTTGATATTTATCACTATTACACATTAATACTTCTTGGCCATAGACAGCCATGGTACCTGCTGGGTATCATGAGATACACCAACGAAGAGAGAAATTTTGTCCAGAAGGAACGTTAAGTATATTTTAACTCAGGCGAAAGTTGTCTTTCAGAAAGTTGTGTAAATGGAAGGATGTGTGAACCCTGGGCATATTTCTGAACCTCAAGAGTTTTTGTGAATACCCCTTTGGGGTAATATGTAAAAGGGAATACTGTCTTCACTAAAGGATTATGTGAGGCTGAAAGTTAAATGGGAGTCCACTTAATTACATATTTCTAAAAATCCTTTAAAGTTGACTGCATGCCTAAAAGTCTTTTTGTCTTTTAGAAAGTCCAGAAGATTTGAATGACTACAATTTAACCAAACCTCATGAAATAGAAAATGTGGACAGCGCAGAAGCCCCAACCAATGAGGATGAAGATACAGGAGGTGAGCCATGGTGTATGGACTAGAAACGAATGGTTGTAGATATGGTCAAGGCCAAGGATGAAGATGAAATCAGCTATCCAAAGAAAACCTGGGTTTGTGAGTTTGTGTTCAGTTAGAAGTGACTTAGTTTCGGCTCGGTGCCTGTAGCTCAAGTGGCTAAGGCGCCAGCCACGTACACCTGAACTGGCGGGTTCGAATCCAGCCCGGGCCAGCCAAACAACAATGACGGCTGCAACCAAAAAAAAAAAAAACGTTGTGGCGGGCACATGTAGTCCCAGCTACTTGGGAGGCTGAGGCAGGAGACTCACTTGAGCCCAGGAGTTGGAGGTTGCTGTGAGCTGTGATGTCATAGCGCAGCGCTCTGCCCGGGGGAATAGCTTGAGGCTCTGTCTCAAAAAAATAAAAATAAAAAGAAGTGACTTAGTTTTGTTCATCTCACAAATATTTCCATGTAATAGTTATAGGAGCGGGCCCAGTGGCTCACACCTGTAATCCTCTGGGAGGCCAAGGTGGGTGGACTGCTTGAGCTCAGGAGTTCAAGACTAGCCTGAGCAAGAGCAAGACCTCGTCTCTAAAAATAGCCAGGGATCGCAGTGGGAGGCCTGTAGTTCCAGCTATTTGGAAGGCTGAGGCAAGAGGATTGCTTGAGCCCAAGACTTTGAGGTTGCTGTGAGCTGTGATGTCATAGCACTCGATCAAAGTTGACAAAGTGAGACTGTCTCAAAGAAAAAAAAAGATAGTTACAGGATGTCAGCAATTTTGGGGGGGTAATTTATTTATTTATTTATTCTTCTTTTCTTTCTTTTTTTTTTTTTTAGTTCTACCCAAAAAGAAGGCAAAATTTTTCTTTTTTACTTTGGATTAGCATGAGGGTACAAATGCATAGGTTGTATATTTGCATATGTTAGGTAAAGTCCTTGTAGCTGTGTCCCTCCCCCAGGAGGTGTGCCATACACCCTTACTTTGTGCCCATTAGGTAGGAACACACCAATGTGGGAGGGAGGAGGGAGAAGGGAGGGGAATTGGTGTATTCAAGTCCCCCCAACTTGAATTGAATCGAGTTTTTCTTTTGTGTGAGTATATATTAGTTCATTTACTGGTTTCATATTAGTACTGAGTACATTGAATACTTGCTTTTCCATTCTTGTGATACTTGACTAAAGAGAATTTTCTCCAGCTCTATCCAGGTTAATACAAAAGATGTAAAGTCTCCATCTTTTTATGACTGAATAGTATTCCATGGTATATATACCAGAGTTTATTAAGCCATTCATGGGCTGATGGGCACTTGGGTTGTTTGTAAATTGAGCTGTGATAAACAGTCTAGTGCAAATGTCCTTATGATAAAATGATTTCTTTTCTTCTGGATAGATGCCTACTAATGGGGATCAAATGGAAGATCTATTTTGAGTTCTTTGAAGATTTTTCCATACTTCTTTCCAAAGAGGTTGTATTAGTTCGCAGTCCCACCAACAATGTGAAAGTGTTCCTTTCTCTCCACATCCACGCCAGCATCTGCAGCTTTGGGACTTTGTGATGTGGACTATTCTCACTGGGGTTGATAGTGGCAAATTTTGACAATTCAAGCTGATTATTTAGTGTTCAGGATATACTAACTTCATTTTTTTCTTTTGAGATAGAATCTCACTCTGTTGACCTAGGCTAGAATCCCATGGCATCAGACTAGCTCACCTTAGCAACCTCAAACTTCTGGGCTCAAGCGGTCCTCTGGCCTCAGCCTCCTGAGTCGCTAGGACTACAGGTGCTCACCATGATGTCCGGCTAATTTTTTTCTGTTTTTAGTAGAGACAGGGTCTCACTCTTGCTCAGGCTGGTCTTGAACTTCTGAGCTCAAGCAATCCACCTTCCTCGGCCTCCCAGAGAGCTGGACTACAGGTGTGAGCCACCACACCTGGCCTATTCACTTCATTTTTAAAAGAATGTTTATTTTACTCTTTCCTATTATAAAATTAATACATGTTTACCATGTAAGTTTGGCTGGGCATTTCCTCCAATTCTTCAGACAATCACTGGGTATCCAACAATTCAGTTCAGTTCACCTCACTTCTGATACTAACTCCCAGTGTTATTAAGGCAGATCCCACAAGTGAAGGCCTCAGGTGCGCAACACTGCCCCCACTTCAGTGTCCAGGTTACCTGCGCTTCTATCTGACTTGGCTACCAAGTCAGGGGTTCCCGCAACCCCCCCTCAGGTCAATAATTTGCTAGAATGGCTCACGGGACTTATTACCTAACCCATTTGCTTATTATTCCTTTACTCTCAGCTCTATTCTTCATTCTATTTATACCAAACTTTGGAAGGAACATTAGGTTTGGCCAGTGTGCTGGTCCAGACTGCAAGCAGCAAAGCTCATTAGCAAGTACCCTTCCCTCAGTCCACTCCCATAATTCATGCAGGACAGGGTTGCAGAGGGACTGAACCCATGGGCTGTTTCTCCCACTAGGCAATAAGAGCTGCATTCATTGTTAACCCCAGTTTTGCCAGATGATGTGAAAGCACAACCTTCCTAATCAGGCTTTTAGGAATTCTGACATAGAAGTTTAAAACTATAGTCACAGCTTCTGGCTCAGGAATCATCTCGGTTTCTAGCTCTTCTAGTTGCAGCCCCAGTCCTGCAACCACTGAATTCAGCAGGAAAGAGAAGACCAAGTGATGAGTAGAAAGAAAAAAAGGAATAGTCATCACAGCACTGTCCTCCTTCTTGGGAAGAATTGTATGATCATACCAGCGCCCTCTCCAACTCCCTCTTCTCTAGCTCAGCCAGAAAACAGAGGAATCTACCGAGTAGGGAACCTGCCTTAGCTGATGTTGTGTGTGAGCGCGTGATGGTGAAGATGGATAAACCTGCCCTTCATGCCTGTGTCTCCCTCTGGTTTAGACAACTAATGTTTTGGCTGATAGCCGCAATTCTCTATCAAATTATCTCTCTGAGGAGGATATCTCTTTGCCCATTGTTTGACATTATAGGCTATAAACAAAGAGTGTTCCTTAGTCTAAAGAAATGTCACTTGGCAGTCCACATAGGTGCAGTGTCTTCTGTTCCGGTTCTTTCATGATACTCTGACCATTTGCATCTACCACCAGCGTTGCACTGGTCCCTCAATGCAGACCACTTGCCAGCAATGGACAGAGCCTCTCCCACTCGCCCCTCCCTGCACCAGGGAATCTTACCCATAGCCATCCGCAGTCTGTGTCTCTCTAGCCAACAGAATGCTTTGTTGACATTTTGTGCCTCAGATGGTATGAAAGAAATATGCCCCAACTCAACCTTCCTTCTGCATAACGCAGCACCCCCCACCATGTCTGCTCATTTCACAGACCCAGGTGGGCACCTCAAGCAAGTATACCGTGGCAGCCACTCATTGGTTTCATTCGCCTTCTGAACCTGGAAGAGACTTCTTTTGCTAGGCATCTACATGTCCTCCTTTAACGCAAACCTCAGATTCCTATCATGGTTTCCATGGCTGTGCCCCATGTGGGAATCTCTTACAGTGGTTCTCAACCCACAGGAACTGTATTAAAGGGCCACGGCATTAGGAAGGTTGAGAACCACTGCTTTAATAAGTCTAATTTCCATTGCCATTGCTGCCTTGGGTATTTGCCATCACCAGAGTATTGGCCAGGATATTGGCCATCATCCATGGATCAGTAGAAACTGAAACGGAAGTATACATGAAATAGATGATCATTCAGTTATCTATTACTGCTGGGAGAGCAGCGCATAATTCAGCCCGCTGAGCTGATCTGTTTTTACCTTCTTCAGTAACGGTGGTAGTTTTCCAAACAGGATGTTGTCCATTTATCTTAGAACTGCCATCCACTGACTAAGTAGCTCTTTGTTGCTCAGTCAAAGGTTATCTGGCAGGGCACTGTTCAGATAATGATAGAATCCAACAGCCCCTCACACACTGCAGGGTCAGCCCTAGGGGATAAGAGGCTCCCTGCTCATAAGTATCTCGTCCTTGCACTCCCCAGTAGGATAGGCCAACAAAAACCATTTCAATTTCATTATGGAACTCATCTGGTCATTGCCCTCCCCACTGGAGCATCTCTCTGAATTACCCAAGATATCATTGGTATTTTAGGTTTTAAGATTATTTTTTTGAGGGTGAGTGTGGTGGCTTACACCTGTAATCCTAGCACTCTGGAAGACCAGTGTGGGAGGATCACTTGAGCTCAGGAGTTCCAGGCCAGCCTGAGCAAGAGTGAGACCCTGTCCCTACTAAAAATAAGGGAAAAAGCCAGGTATTGTGGTGGGCACCTGAGGTTCCAGCTACTCAGGAGGAAGGGAACCATTTTATATCCTCCCATTTCATACCTGATCATTTTATACCCTCATGTGCAGAAGGCCTTTTGGGCCTCTAGTGAGGGGTCCAACCAAGGAACTCTGGCCCTTTTGTCCATTTCTATCATGATTAGGCCGGGTGTGGTGGCTCATGCCTATAATTGCAGCACTCTGGGAGGAGGCCAAGGTGGGTGGTTGGATTGCCTGAGCTCAGGAGTTCCAGACCAGCCTGAGTGAGAAGGAAACCTCATCTCTACTAAAAATAGAAAATCTAGGCAGGCATTGTGGGGCGTACCTGTAGTCCCAGCTACATGGGAGGCTAAGGCAAGAGGATTGCTTGAGCCCAAGAGTTTGAGCCTGCTGTGAGCTATGACGCCATGGCACTCTACTCAGGGTGACAGAGTGAGACTGTCTCAAAAAAAAAATTTTTTTTTCAAAATCATGATCAATCTACCTGACTATTGCTCCGGGCGATTTCAGATTGGATTTCCCATTGTAATCTTTAACTTCTGGCTTTATAATTTTTTCCAAAGTGGGTAAATAGAATAAACTTGTTTAGGGCTCTTTAATGTAGGAGGACCAGCAAGGGATGCGTTTGGTCTGCACAGTCTTCGGCAGCACTGCACTAAGACCTTGGTTTCACCCTCATCAGTGTCTGTGTCATTTATCCCATTTCTGCTGGGAATGAATCAC